AACACTTAAGTGCTTAAAAAAAACAAAAGAGAGAAACTGAGAGAATTAAAAAAAAAAAACAAAACACCATTTTTATGTTGTGATGATTACATTAAGTATTACTCGTGGCACTCAAATGCCTATAATAACTGGCAAAAACACCCTATTTTCCAAAGCTTTCTATGGAAGGACAGGTGGTGCTTGCCCATTCTGTCATTCTGCTATTTAATGCCATTCTCACTCAATTCCAAGCATGGCAGACAAGGTAAGGGAGTGGCAAGTTACCTTTTCCTAGAAGGAGCTTATTTTTGTTGCTATTTTTTACATTTAATATATGGCTTTTATTCATGAATATACCAAGTGCTTTGCGTGATATTCGGTAAGTTTATACGCGCTCAAATTCTCCATGCTTTGTGTCATTTTAAGTGACCACCTCTGGGGGAACAGAAAGGTTCCAGCTCTTAGGTGGTTTTGTTCTTACTGCTTTTCAGGCATCTGTTTCAGAGAGCTGTAACTGGCTGATATCACGGTGCTGGCTTTGAAATTTAAATTTTTTTTCAAAGAGGATTACAGACTTCATCTTACACAGAATCAGAAAGGATTTCCTGAGGTCCAATATCTAAGAATAGTGCTGTACAATTAGTTTGGGGGTTTTGTTGAGCTTCTTTAAAACGATATTATAATTTTTGGATAGGAAATGCCAATTAGTACTTTCAACTACATAAAAATACTAGTTCATGCAAAGCACTGAAACAGTGTGAACATTGTGTGATAGACAGATGTCATTTAATAGCTTGATGGTCACATGAATTTCACTTTTTTTTCCTTGAACATGTAGAATAACCAGCAAATCAAAATTTTATCTATCAGATTGAGTTTGGTATTTTTAACACTTCTTAAACTGATGTAAGTGGGTGTGCAGGAAACTGGCACTGTTTTGTGAAGTCTGATCTATACTGTACTACTATTCCATGAACTGAGCATGTTTCATTTTAATGGGTATATAACTTTGGACAGTGACATTTAGGTCTATGTGCTTTTGTGGTTGGTTTAAAACCATTTAATCCTTTAGATTCTTATTTTTATTTTACTTTAATGTGAAACAAACTTTTGTGAATGATGTTGTAATATGAAAAAGAAGGAAGAGAAGCAGAATTGATCTTTCTCTCTTAATTGTTGCAGTAGCCAGCTATTAATTACTGTTGTGGTCCAAAGTATTGTATTTCTGTTTATATTCTACATCTTTTGAAGGTGCTGCTGAGTTTCAAGGCCTTTCCATGATCCTTGAACTGAAATCCTGTATATAATTTAATTTAATCAGCTATGATAGTTTCTTCAGAGATAGGGTCATTGCACCTTTAGGGCTCGAAGATACTGATTCCAAATGTTGTTCTGTTTTACTTGCATACCATTATGGTTTAATTTTGTTTCTATGCAAGGATGAGAGCACAGCTCTTAATGTGTTGTCATGCAGTAGTTATACCTCAAATAGTCATTGGACCAGTGTTACTTAGAGCACAGAATTCAACTGCTCTCTGCAAACCAGCAACTTGTGTTTGTTCTTTTGCAGACAAAAAATTCTGTTCCAACCGCCAGATAAAAGTAGAAGAATACTCAGTTTCTCAATATTTAATGCTTGGCTGTTTCTCTGACAATAGCAATACCTTTTTCTTAGTATGGGCTATAGTAGCTACTCTTTACAAGGAGTGTCTTCAAACAGTCAGAGAGTTAGGACATGTTTGTAATTCATGAAACCATGTCCTACCACTGACTGCAGTTCCAGAAAAGGAAAACACAAATAGAGTGCTTAGCATGAGAGTATAAAGATTTAAGTTTTAGAATATTACTTAAAACTGTACAAGTTTGCTGCTGTTTTTGAAAAAATAACATCCTTACTCATGTCTTGTTAAACTCAAGGCAAGAGTAAGAAAATTCAGCTAAAAATGTATTTAAATCTCCAACATTGCCAAGAGTGTTCAGCAGTGTTAATACTGCCTGGTACCAGCACTTAGGAGGTCAGGACTGCCCCTGCCACCAGTCTTGTTTCATGTATAACCTACTTAATCCTGAGGAGGGTGAACTGAAGATTGGTAATACTGCATCTCCAGGTCTTTCTCTCACTATCCTTGTCTCCAGGCTAACACCCTGATGTGGTCACTCTGATCCCCTGTCAGCACTTTCTCTGCTCCCCTGCTGGTAAAATCCACTGCTGGTAAAACAGTGCAAAACTCAACCTCCAGACTGTCACCCTGGGCAGCAGCACTCTGCTTTACCCATTTCACTAGGGTAAAGAAACAGCTCAGTCGTGTCTGTCATCAAATACATTACAAATCCTTGTGGCCTCAGTCCAAGAATCACAAATCCAACTGTGAATACTTCCCTTTTGTGGGAGGGTTTATATAGCAAGGTTTGCACACAAGTCTATTTATTTCTATGCTGTGTCCTTTTCTGAGCGTCTGCCAAAGTCCTTGTCCCCAGGTGTCAGTGTTTGATAGTTAAAACATTTAGATAAGTGTACTTGCTGAAAGGGAATCCAAAAAGAAATAGAAAATAATTTAATTCAGTAAGCCTATTTTTTGTAGATTTATTTTTGTATTAAAAGACTATTTACTATGTTTTCCAATAGTTTACAAACAAAAGACCTTACTATTTTTGCTTAGAAGACATATATGCAGCTTTCTAGAAGTGCAGATGGTCTTACTACCAATTACTGCAGGGAGGTTGATCTCAGTTGTTGCTTATAGGTTTTCTGAGCTGAGAATTTTTTAAGCAGCTGTTGACTACCTTAAGTTTCTTATTAAATGCACATAATTTTGTTAATGTATTCTAAAATAATTCCTTCCTCTATAGTGTCAGTTTTTATTTTACACTACTTAAATTTGGCACTATTTATTTAAATACAGTATTCCAGATGAAGTAACTGGTGCTAGGAGATAAGTTCTTGTTAAGTGATCTTGTCAGTAACGTTTCATGTTGAAGCATAAGCTTTAATACTTGATTTTGGTCATTAAAAAGGTTTGGGTTTTTTTAAATCATTTGTGCTTGGGAAGTAGATTCAAGTATTACTACCTTTGCAATAGAATTATGAGAAAAACAGAGGACTTCAGGATAAAAGTAGATTTGAATAAAATTAAAGCACAAATGAAAACCAGCAGCTGATCTTCTCACCTCATCTCCATACAGGTATTATGAGCAACATGGTGTTGTACGTGTCTCTGTAGCAGGGGGGTGAAACTATATGACCTTCAAGGTCCCCTCCAGCTCCAACCATTCTATTATTATATACATAGATCTGCATGGCAATAGCTCCTTCTAAACTGAGGAATGCATTTTAGCAGCGCACTATATGTGTTTGGTGTTGGATGTGCACTAATACCCTATTTATTTCTATTGTCTGTTCTCACATATATACACTTTATTCTCCTTCCAGCTTCCATTCATTTAAGCTTTAAAAACAGTGGAAATTTGATGAACTTCATCTACACAGCAGTTCAGAAAATCAGGCCCAAATGGAAGACTGCAGGCACTTTGAGACTTTTAAGCACCTAATTTCGCTACCAAAGTAGAAAATAATTTCACTATAGCAAATCTTTGCTATAGTATCAGCTTTAAAATTGATACTTAATATCCCATAGAAAAACTTCCAAGGTTTAAATTAATGTTGTTCTAGTTTTGTCTGTCTTTCTTAAAGCCTGTTTTTTAAATAGTTCACTGTGTAAGAAGTATAATTCAAAATGCTTTAGAACAGACTGTCAAAACTAAGAAATCAGATTGCTCTGATTACTCACTCAAATTGCTCCTTGGTTTGAGAATTTAATTGATGTCTCATGAACCCATGTACATTAAATAAAATTAGTAATACTCTAAAATGTCTCTCTGAGAGGCTTCTATGTGTTTAGAGAAATCTGATCTTCAAGCAAAATGCATTTGCTGTTTTGACATACAATGTGTGTTATGGCATTTAGAACAGAGGGAGAATCATCCAAATAAGTGGCCCTCTTGAATGTCTTCATGGAGTTTGACAGTGTGTGACTTACCAGTTAAGTACAACTTCTGTCAAGGAGTTAAAATATTCATCTTGAATTTATATTTGAGTGTATTTATATGTATATATGTATTTGTATTTAAAATAGTCCTATTGGTTACTCTAAGAATTTTATAGTTCTCATCTTATATAAAGAGCTATAAAACTTTTACAGTAGGAATGTTTAGGAGCTTTGTGGTAAAGAAGAAAATCATAGAATCATAGAATAGTTAGGGTTGGAAAGGACCGTAAGATCAAAAAATGACTGATAACCTTTTTGCATGTAATTATATAACATTTTGCCCTTTCTTCTGAATTTAGTTTGTCTACATTATAGACCAGTGTACACCTGTATAATACATACAATCTTACATACTGTAATGGATCAAGTATGACATAAGTGCCTTTCTTCAATACAGGTATTCAAACTCAGAAGCTTTGCTTTCTTACATCTGACACTTAAAAGTCACTTTTCTGTAGCATATATATATTTAATTTTTACTTTTTTTGCCAGATTGTCACAAACTACTCCACTTTTCAAGAGTACCGAGATGAGCCCAGTGCACACCCGGTTCCTGACTACATTGCTGGAGGAACTGCATTTCACAAAGGAAGATCTGGAAAGTTTAACAAGAATATTTCTCAAGGACTGCCTGCTTCAATGGTCAGTCAATTGCAAGTTATTTTGCATGGTATAAAACTAAGCCACTTAGCAACAAGTTTGATTTTCAGCATTTTGTGAGTGTGCATGCTGCCTACAGATCATATCAGCCAGAGTAGAACATGTGTAAAGTACATATTAAAGACATACGTATGATATTAAAATGAGTGTTATCATCTTGTCATTTACAGTAAAGGCCAGCTGCTTACATACCACTTCAATCTTTTGATAATAGTTTATATATACAGTATTCTTATATAGATGATATATGTATTTTATATATACATTTATGTATAATTGGTTTTTGTAGAGTTGGTTTACTGCAATTCTTGGAGGAATTTTTACTGAAGTTCTGCTACAATTTGTTACAAAAGAAAGTGTGGCTACAATGGTTAAGTCTTAGTTTGGGCTTTTTATTATTGAAATGAAATTGTTATGTTCAGTCTTTTTGGTATAAAACTGAGTTAAAAGCAGGGTATTTTATTCATAATACTAAGACTACATTTGGGTAGGCTGAGAATGTGAACAGCAAATAGCTTATTTACGTTGATCATATTTAACTGATTTGATTAATATAGCATTATAGTAATTAGTGTGGTAACATTACTGACCTCACTCCTTTGTTCCCCACAGAATAAGGTGATCACTTTAACATCTCCTGCTATCTGAAATAGTGGCGCAGAGAACACAAGAACACCTTCAATTGTTGGACCTTCTTTCTTTAAAAAAAAAAAATAAATTACATTTACTCTTAGTTATACTTCTTCACTTTTGATTTTTCATTTCCTTTCTATGAATAACGATCCTTAAGTCTTGTGGAGAAGCCGACCCTAACGGCAGTTGTTTAAGACTAGTTAAAACACAGATCATCTGACAACTGTCTGTTTAAAAGCAGTAGAAAGGAATTTGGATTGGTTTGGATTTTACTTGCCTTGGAAATCTTTAGCCAAAATTTGTCTACGAGACCTGGGGAAAGAAAGGAAAAAAAACAAGCATATTGGCCTGGAGTGTTAAGAACACTATAGCTGACATTTTTCCAATTGATCCAATGCTTGGAACAGTTATCTTTAAGAACAATGACAAGAGTATATAAAGATGTCTGACGTATAGCCTGTTTATCTTGCTGCTTATGAGAAATGGGGTGGTCTTTGAACTTGTGTACAAGTTAAGTAGCTTTTAATGGTTACTAATTTGGACTTTAAAATATATTTTAATAACTAAAAACTTAATTTTTGGCTTTCTGTATTCATTTCAGAGTTTTGTTTAGAATTGTTTCTGTCACCGATTACAAAATGCAATTTAAAACTAATCCATTGGTAGTTGTTAATGATTCCATATTATGGTTTCCTGCATAGTTCTCACTGTCCTTCAAGAGACCTGAGAAGAAATTGTCACAGCAAATGCCAGTATGAGTTAAGGCTGAAGCAGGATGTAGCAGGGCTGCTACATAGCAACTCCATTTAAGAAACAAGTCTATTCCTTGATTTTGTTTCTGTAATTGGACACCAATAGGGAACTGTACACTTCATTGTGTTATTGCAATGTAGTTCCTTCATGACAATCAGAATAAACGCATTGATTGCCCCCCTACACACAGAAGCCCATGAAGCTTTTCTGTGGAGGCTTCACTGTGTGGTAGAGTTCACTTAGGTGGTGCTTGACTTTTCCTAATTTTGTTTGTAATGGGAAGTTATGTTCAGTATTACTTATAAAAGAAATAATTTAGAATGAGGAAAACCTTTACTGCAGAGTTCAAGCTATGCATTTTTCACAGAACACAATAGGAAAAGAGTAGCCATTGTGATCAGAGAATGTCTGATGTCAGGGTCATGATGTCTGGATAGAAGATACATTGGGTCTGCATCATGATGGAAAACTTTTTACTTGATTTGTATGCAAAGAAGGAACAAGACCTCACCAAAAGGTAAGCTTATAGAAGACTGAGCAATAGGTGTGATACTCTGAGCAAAACTTAAACCTTGAAATTATATCTCCCTGCTCCTGATTTTGGAAGGTAAATACATTTCTCTTTTTAGCTAGTACTTCACTGTAGATTCTGAGCAGCCATTGTTCTGTTCTATGTACATTTACCTTGGGGCATAAAGATTACAACCCGCTGACAGTGCTGCCATACTGAGTACACCTAGAAGGCATTACAAATTTACATCACACCAGGAATAGGACTGTGTTTGAGCAGGTTCAGTGGCTCTCATTTGGAAAGTTTTTACACTTTGTGTCAGGTTTGTGGTGGGATTTTTTGGGCAGTTATTTTTAGGCTTGGTCTTCAGCAGTTACTGTGTAAGAACTATGTGATCTGGTAATGACAATGGATAGTTCATAGGCCCAGTGACCTCTTTATGAGGATTCACTCTTTTTGTTTTTCCTTGCCCCAAGAGAACAGAATAACCTTTCTCCTCCCATTCTGTAATATGCTGGAAATGCCCTGAAGGGGCATAGCCTTCACTTACCTTTAATGCTTTATATCGCTTAGATGTTTATAAAACACATATAAGTAAATGCAGGAAGTATGCATATAGCCATTATTTTTAAGGAGGAGGAAGGCTGTAGCCTCATCTCAAAAGGAGGGTTCATACTATCAGCATCAACTGGTTATACAAAGAGCACAACTCAAGCACCAGAAATTAACTTCATCTGTGTAGTTTTCTTATAAGCATATTTCATAACAGCTTAACTGGTTAGAAGTGTTTAAATCCAGACCTTAGTTGAGATTAAAGCTAATTTCTGCCACAACTGTCTTTACATGCTTACCCTTTCTCAGCTCACTGCTTTGCTTTTCCCTTCTCATTTTGGTTATGTTTTCAGGTAGGTTGTATATCATTGATATAGTAAAGAAGAGAAGAACAGTTTAAAGCTTAAAGCAAAGCCTGCTTCATGCTCTTACAGCTTCTTTTCATCAAAGGAGCAATATGTAACATACACCTGCATAGTGTATTTCTTACATTTCTTGCATAGTGGATTTCTTACCCAACTTTCTGTGGGGGTAATGAGGTTATCTCAGGAAGAGAGCAGTGTTAATAAAACTACATATACAGAGAAAAACTGGTGAGAGTTATTCAAAGCAGTCTATGTGCTGGCCAAAGAGGATGGAGGAAAAGCTTTTGTGTCTACTTTCACCGAAGTTCAGTTCACAGTCCTGTAACTGCTGTCAGTGGAAGTACTGCACTCTGTAATGCAGTATTTCCTAGCATAGAGCCCTCCACTGCTGCTGGTTGATTCTTTGTATCCATTGACCAAGCTTGCTGATTTTTCTAGGGTGTTGAAGGGAATAATGGGGTTCAGAGTGATGCTGAAGGGAACGAGAGTATTCAGAGTGGTTCACTTCATGCCCGCTTTCCTGAAGTAGTGGTTAAGTCATAATATAACCTGTAAATTATCAAGCATTTGAAGTATCTGCATCTTTAAAGTTTGCAAATCATGTTACACTTATATATAGTAATGCAAAATTCTACATTAAAACAAGTAAAAGAAAACTTGATTTATTTCATTGAAGTCTATCAAAAACAAACAAGCACCTTAGTAAATCTAGAGCAGCATAACTGACATGGCTGTGCTGCTGTCTAAACTCAGAACTGGAACATTACATCCACCCTGTCTTTAAAGAGTGATACAGGGAACAACAACGAGTGTGGTACATGTATGAGATACATCTGAGGCCCCAAATGCTGTGTCCACACAACACACAGAAGATTGACCTGTAGCTTAAAAGCGAGGCGGAAGCATCTGTTGTGGTCTGGGGGGGGAAACGGCAGTTCTGTGAATCTTGGTGTTGAACCTGTGTGTCATACCCTTCTCTGCCTGGTCTTAGAGGATCTAAGCTCTACAAAATGCAAGCAAGGATGAGCAGCTCAGTTGGACAGTAAGTCTCAGCTGACCTTTAACTGCTGGAGAGAAATGGTCTAACACATCAGAAAGAAGAAAAAGGAAGAGAAGGGGAAGCCAGTATTCACACCTTTAAATTTAGCATCCAACCCTAGGTACTTGCCTGTTTCCACAAAGGACCTATGTTCTTTGGTTTAGTTTCTCCAACTCATACCTTAGCCCAGTGTTGGAAGCAGGGGGTGTTAATGCCTCTGCCCCTGTTCACCGAAAGCAAGCAAAGTGAGCTGAGAATTTTGACCATGGTAGTCTGGCTCTGCCTGGGGTAGTTTATGTAGTAATAAAGTGTGGCACAGAATTGAATGAGGACCTGCAAAGTGGGAAGTTTCTAAGCAATGTGATCCCACTGTTCCATTATTTTGACAGCTGCTACTTCACACTTCTATTTTTCTTCACCTCTAAGAGTTAGAAACCAAAAGAATCAAAGTGAGTGACAGTCCTTAGGAAAAAAAAAATAATACTGCCAGTGTGTTGAAAGTACATCCAGGATACCTCTAAGCTTTCCATACTTCCTCTGTATTTCTGCAATTGCTTACAAACACCCAGTACAGCAGGTGGGGATTGCCTTGATCTCACTGGGGTAGCAGATGAATGCTGAACTGTCATTTCCAATGAGCATTAAATATTGAAAATCTGGAATGAGCCTGTCTTTGGCAGGTCTTAAGTTTCCATAAGCAGCAGGTGGTACACAAGGCAGGGCTAGGCACCTATAAAGGCCTCTGTTTCTCAGCTGCATATCTCTACCACCTGACAGCCAGGCATCCTCTGATTAGGGCCAGAGGAAGTAGGTGTGACTGCCATTAGCAAACACAGTAATATTGCTAAAGACTTTTCCTCCTCTGAGCTTGCCTTTTGTGACTCTTAGAACCACTTCTCTGCAGACTCAGTGCGGTGGGAAAAGGGCTGCCTGAAAGACGCCATAGAACATGAACTGTGGCATTTGTGGTGCTAAACAGGATTTGGTGAGGTGGGGAGGGAGAGCTGGAAACCTGCATCTTCAAGTAGCTCTCCTGAGCACTCCGGTTTCAAAAAAGCAAGTGAAAGCAGTGATCTGGACATGTGTGATCAATGTTAGTCATTCCCCCTTAGTTGCCTGCAGCTGTAGAGCAAGGCATAAGGCAACCTGAAGTTCTGCAAAAGTAGACAAGACTATCCAAAAAGAGTAATAATTAGCAAGAAGAAAAGTGAGAAACAAGCACAAGCCTTTTTAAACTGTTCTTGCCCTGGAAAATGGGCAGTATTGTGAGATAAGTAACTTTTTCAGCATGGTCTCGTCAATACAGCATCACATTTGGAGCAGCAATAACAGTCATGGCAGGGCTAGAAAGTCCAAGAACAAAGGCCAACTTTCTGACCAGTGTTTCTGAGATCTGTGAACCACAAGTTGCATCTTCAGAGTTAAGTCGTAGACAGAGGAAGGCTTATCAGTCATAATACAGCAATTAAGTGTGGCCCCTGTAACACCTCAGATGTCCACTTGTTTGCTGGTTTTACTGTACTGTCCTGCAGTTACCCCAAGACAACAGCTCCCTAACACTTCCCTTCTCTGAGAACAAACTAGAGTTGACACATGAGTGATCATAAGTCAGCTGCATGTCACCACTATGCAGACTCCTTCCTTAGGAGTCAGTCCCCAGAATGCTTTGGCAGCCTGTGCTTTAAAGGCAAAATCTTCAGTACATTTTTGCAGGCTTTGACTACACACAGCAGCTGCATGCAAAGATCAGAGAGCAAAGCCAGTACCACTACTGAATGGTATATCCTGCAT